GGGAAAGAGGGAGAGGATTTGGTGGCAGGGAAGGAAGAGGAAGAATAGGCCTCTGGCTTGGTTTTTGTTTTTTATTGTTATAGTTTTGTGTTCTGAATTTTTGTGAAATTAAAGTGGGGGGAAATTACTTCTGCTGCCACTGCTGTTTGCTTTGCTTGATCTTGTTTATATTGGGATATTTATTGATAAAAAAATGGATAAAATCTGACGTGAGGACCCGGTGGAAGGGGAAGACGACACTTGGATCAGATTCCGAGTGCCAACAGTATACTGTGATTGTTGGTGGATAATGTACTAATCCATGTCTATCCACATTGGGTTTTTAAATACAAATTTTGAGTGTTGTTTTTGTTTTTGTTTTTTCATAATTTGAATTCTATATTGCAGCCATTCATTTGCTAGACCCATTGCTCTTAACTCTGCCGAGCCGAGCAGATCCATCCAACACCTGACGTGGAAAGGATTTCCACGGTGTTTGATACGGTAATTTTAATTTTTTAAATGTTTTTTATTTGAAAATTTATTAAAATAATATTTTTTTAATTTTTTAATATTAATATGTCTAGACAATAAAAAAAATACTAAAAATCCATTTAAATAAAAAAATCAAGTATACATTAAATACACTTTTTAAATTATTTGAAAAAATAATTTAGAACGAGATGTCAATTGATTATAAAATATTATTCAATACCATATTAAAAAAACTTATTTTAAAATTATTTTTTAAAAATTACTAATTTAAATTTTACAAACCTCAAAATCAATAAAAATTTTCATAATCATTAATTTTAGAATTTATAAAATTAATCAAGTTCCATGTAAATTTCATGTTAATCTAAAAAATATATATTTTATATTGTTGCTAAAGTTATTTGACTTATATCTCCTTGTGTGTCATATAATTTTATTTTTAATGTAAAAAAATATATCAACATTTTTTATATATTTTTTACATTAATAAATAAAAACTATAAATTGAAATTTTATGTGTATAGTTAATTAAATAAATTATAAATTATTTATATAATTAAAATAAATTATAAAATTTAATTTTTAATTAACTGAAACACTTATATTAATGTTAAAAACACCCTTGAGCAAGGTGTCTTGCACCTGTAAAAATTATTTTTAATCTCAAAACATCTAAATAAAATATATATACTATAGAAAATCTATCTAGAAACTCAAACAACCTGAAATATTAAAATTAACCCGAAGTCTTATCCTCTTTACTGTAATTAAAAAAATTGAAATCGAAAGTGATTAGATGATCACAGGAACAAGGATAAGATTTTATCCCACTTCATGTAATAAAAAGGAATGTACCTCGATGACAACTCGAAGAAGATCCCTGATAGACACTAGCGTCTAGACATACAAGATATTCATGCATTATTACAAAGGACTCTCATCAATGCTACTAATCCTACCAGTCTAAATCAACATTTATTATTATTATTATTATTATTATTATTAATATTCCTCGCAGATATCACAGATTTCAAAGGGAGCAAGTTTAGAGATCTCTCGACAAAAAATAAAACAAAATAACTACATGTCGAACAAAGGGCATGACCGGACATTTAATTTTTATTTGAGAACATGTTGATAATTTTTTTTAAATATTTTTTTAAATATTTAAAAAATATTTTTCATATTAATATGTTGAAATAATTTTAAAAAATAAAAATATTAATTTAAAATAAAAAAAAATATTTTAATTTTTTTAAAATATTTTCATATCACCAGACCAAAACACACCCTAAACATAATACCATACGCAAATAATCACTGCCTATAAGGTATTGGCGTACAATACCACACCCAAATATCCACCACGCACAAGGTATTGATTTTTTTATCCGAGACAAAATAAATAATTCAATATCTAAATCAATGGTTAAATCATATTAAATTGATAATCAAATCAATTCAGATATGACTGATTAAACCTAAATAAATAAAAAAGATGGCTTTAAAAGGAGGAAAAAAAATATTTTGTTCAGAGTGAAATTCATACTCTTTTCTCAGGAAAAAAAATGCAACCATTTCACCAAAATCAACATGAATAATTTAATTTAATTTAATTTTAATGCGATATAATAGTTACAAGTTGAATTATACAGTGTAATTAACCTAGATTGACATGCAAGATGTAACCCTCATGATCTTAACTTGTAGCTATACAAATATTCCACGTGGCAATGAAGCATCACGCCACCTGCATGGACGACTCATGGCCCAATCAAACATTTAAAAAACTAAAAAAACTGCAAATATAGGTGAAACCCCAATAACGAAGATCCAGCTCAATTTACAGAGCGAAGCCCACAATCAGAAAATGCAACCGGCCCTGATCAACGAAAACACAAAAACCTCTTTAAAAGGAAACGTAGCCGTTTTAAGCCGAAGCGCAGAAATCAAATTCCAACATCCTGCAAACCTCACAAATCACAAGCCCTAACCCCCCACCGGTAGCTTCTCTCGTTTATTACAGCCGCTCTTCATCTTCTCGCCAGCGATCTCAGGTCAGTCTCTGATTGTGTCTTCTCTCTATCTGGGTTTAATTTTGTGTTTTCTGCATAAAGCAACTCACCACAATTGAGGAAATCTTGGGGATAATTTTAGCATTCTCTACAATATAAAAGCCAATCAACTAGCAAGCATGCTTCTTTTCTGTATTTAGCAGGAAAAAAAGATGGGTTTTTAATAACATGCCAGAATTTATAGATTCATAATTGAGTTGGGTTATTTGTGGCAGTTTCAATGATTTACACAGCGATTGATAACTTCTATTTAACTGATGATGAGCTACAAAACTCCCCGTCAAGGAAAGATGGAATCGATGAGGCTACGGAGACAACTCTTAGGATCTATGGCTGTGATCTTATCCAAGAGAGCGGCATTTTACTCAAACTGTATCTTCTCTTCTTTGCTTAATCATGTACTGCACATGTTTTTTTTTTTCCTGGGTTTTTTGTTGATGCCTTTTACTCATACTGGTTCTATCTGTTTCTGTTTCATTATTTTTTATACTCAAAGACCTCAAGCTGTGATGGCTACCGGTCAAGTTTTATTCCACCGATTCTATTGCAAGAAGTCATTTGCCCGTTTCAATGTCAAGGTTAGAAGTGATATTTTCACCTACAGTGTTAAATTTACGAGAGATGGGCATTGGTTTATTTAGTTCTAGCAATGCAATTTTTATAATTCCCACTTATTTGTCTAATATGTTTTTAGGATGTGCTAATATTTTGCAGAAAGTTGCTGCTAGCTGTGTATGGCTTGCATCTAAACTCGAGGAAAGCCCTAGGAAATCAAGGCAAGTCATCATTGTTTTCCACAGAATGGAGTGCAGGAGGGAAAACTTACCCTTAGAGTTTTTGGACCTGAATTCAAAGGTTAGAAATATGGTATCACGTTTGCATAAGATGCTTCAGTATTATTCTCTTCCCTTTGGCTCATAGCTGGTTTTAGTCCTTCTGGTGTTAGGCACTTAAGACTTTTTTCTCTGTGTCAATAGAAGTTTGCAGAGTTGAAGATTGAGTTGAGCAAAACAGAGAGGCATATATTGAAGGAAATGGGTTTTGTTTGTCATGTTGAGCATCCCCACAAATTCATTTCAAACTACCTAATGACCCTTGGAACACCCCAAGAATTAAGACAAGAAGCATGGAACTTGGCTAATGATAGGTACTTCTCTGAATCAAACATTTTGATTGTATCATTCTACAGTTGTTTTGTGAGTCTTATGTGCGTAGTCTGTATATTCAGTTTGATGAATTTGTGCGGTGTTGCTTTTTCTGCGGAAAAAATAAAAATAAAAATCATGTTCAACATGACCATCAATTTTGGAACTAAGAATTATTTGTTCAGATGCAGGGATTCCCTAAACAAAACCACAGCAGATATAAAATAATATTCCTTGCTTAGTGAAATATCTTATCTGTTGTCAGTTTTCAGATAACTGCTTTTTTGCACTTGATAATTAAATAGTCATTCTGATCTCAATAAAAAGAGCATTTACTTTTTGACAGGATCCTATCAGTTTAAGTTCCTCTTCCCTTGTAACTTATTTCCTCAGATCAATTGTAGCAATTGCATCATCTTTCAAGGCTTGTAATTGCTGTGAAAAAGATTGCCAAGTACTTATAACATAAGCTCCAGTTATGATGTAACAGTTAGCATGAATTACAATCTTTTATAGGCTTACCTGGTTGCTTATGTCTTCAAGCTATTAGTACAAGACAGAATTGCACAACAAGGTGGTTAAAAAAACAGACGCTGCTTCTGTTTTAAATTAATGGATTTTGGTGTTATTGCTTGTTTGGTATATCTTCTTTTCCTGGGACTTACTAGTGTGCTTTCTTGTTGGTATTTTTCTACATTAATCCATTCTCTTGGCAGTTTGCGGACAACTTTGTGTGTTCGTTTCAAGAGTGCAGTTGTGGCTTGCGGTGTTGTATATGCTGCAGCTCGTAGATTTCAAGTACCTCTTCCTGAGAATCCACCATGGTGGAAAGCATTTGATGCAGAGAAATCTGGGATTGATGAAGTTTGTAGAGTTTTGGCTCACCTATATAGCCTTCCTAAGGCACAGTATGTATCAGTCTGCAAGGATGGAGATTTTTCTTTTTCGAACAAGTCTTCAGATTCCCAATTGCAGCTGATTTCAAAGGTGGTTCTGTATTTCCTTTTTTTCTCAATTTGATTCTAAATCAACCTTTTAATTTTTGGTTTTTACAATATTTGCAACTGTCTCCTTGTCATCAAAGGCGGTATATTGCCTAGTGACAAAGCAAGTATGGCTGTTGTTTCCGTAAGAAAGAAAAAGACAACCCGGTTGTTTTGATAGGAAAAAGGGTAGAAACTGCAAGCATTGTAGAGATTACTTCATATTCATCTGAGACAGGGATGCTTCATCATATAAACCCATTGACTGAAATTATATTTTTTCTGCTCTTGAATAGGAAATTCCACGGGCTACTAGCCTGCCAGCTAATAATAATTCAACTGAACCAAAGGCAGCTCCAAGTGGTGTTAATGCTGAATCTGGCGGATCCAAGGACATAACAAAAGTTGCCTTAGACAAGCTGAAGGAATCTAAAAAAACAGATGATGAATCCAAGCCCGCTGAGGGAGAAGCAAGAGAAGAGCTCATTCCAAGATCAAAGTCTGATCACAGAACAGAAGCGAGTGGTGACAAGAGCAAGGAACGGGACAGGGACAGGGACAGGGAGGGGGAAAGAGAGAGGGATAGAATAAAGGCCCAGGATCGTGATAGGGGCAGAGATTCTGACCGGGAAAGAGAGCGTGATGAAATTGAAAGAGACAGGGATAGGGCTAAGGATCGAGGTCGTCATCGTTCAAAGGATAGAGGAAGAGAGTCAGGTCAGCTCCCAAGTTCCGTTTTGTCCAGATGTTACACTAAATTTGGGGGCTAGCAATTCTCTGTTTAAACTTTTATACAACTTTAAGTACTCTTATAACACATTTCTAATTGTATATGTGATCTTTTAATCTAAATGCAGGACACTCGGAGAAATCAAGGCATCACTCCTCACGTGGTATGTATTTTAACTTTTCTTACGAGGTCCATCTTTTTTTTTCTCGATGTTAAATGGCAGTCCTCTCATCTGGGACCATTCTGCATTTTCAGACCGTGACTACCACAGTTCCTCCTATTCATCAAGGGAGAAGGACCGGCATAGGCACCACTCATATGCTTGAACTGGCCATTGGAATGTGCGCACACTTCCTTTTTAGAGATGTAGCAGCAGGGATTGCCAGTACAGTACTTGTATATTAATTTTTTTTTTGAGGTGTTATAACATATCCTGTCTGTCCCATTGCAACATGACAGAGGAGCAAGAAAACACCATCATGTTTACAGTTAAATTGAGATCTAAAACATAAGAGTTCCATAATGCTAGTTCCCTCACCACTATCTGTGCTGTACTTGAACTGGTCCTTTTTTTGTGAAAAAAATGTCGAACACTGGGTTTTCTTTTCTGTTCAAGTTACGACAAGGTGATCATGTCATTATGGTCAGGCGAACCACCCCATTTTAACAGGAGGGGATGCCGATGCTGGCCTATTGGCTTAAACGTCCCTTGTGCTATAGTGCTAGCGAATCCTTTTGAAGTGAGAGCGTGGACTCACTCTCAGCGATGAGTGATTACTTGCATATACTGACATGTTAAATTGGAGCGTGGACTCACACTCAGTGACGAGTGATTACTTGCATGTACTGGCATGTTAAATTGGAGGGGAATTATCATATGGGGTAGTAACATGCGATGCCATTAATATGACCACAAAAAACATGCTATTGTATTAAATGTGGTGTCTGACAGGTTCTGATAAAAATAACAATTGTTGCATACCAAACGATCCGTTTCTCATAGAGGCGGTGTAGGGCACCCAGTCTTCCTGCAGGTTAAGAAACTTGAATTCCTAATAACAACCCGCAGTGCACCGCACAAGCAATTTTACCGTCAGTTGAAGGCTCGGTGTAAACCAGATACTTCATGTTGGACTCTCAAAGATAACTAATAAAAGTAACAGATGTCTGAATACACATTTTAATCGTCATCATCACCAAGAATTGCAGCAACAAATCTCGTCGCTGAAGGATTTGCAGCTATTGAACTCCTAGCCACAGTACTAAATGGCTAGTGAAGAGGCAAGAAGAGCACACATTGCAGTAACTCACAGTTTCTTGTGCTTTGAAAAGAAAAGAAACCCTATATTCAGTGTTATGAGCAACAGGCAGCGAGCAAGCAGTAGGGCATGTTGAAGAAAGATCAGAATGCAGATCCGCCATCCTTTGTCTTGCCAAGCATCACGTCTTTAGCCTCGTTGATTTTTGAAGCAAGGTAGTGGCTACCACCCGCATCAGGATGGTTTGCTACCATCACTCTTCTATGTGCTTCTTTCACCTTCTCTGCTCCAGCATTTTCTCTGCTCAAAAAAACCCCATCTTTCTAACTTCAATTATTAATCATAATTTCAAGATAATCAAGCAAATAATATCCATCAAGTAAGAATAATAAGAAAAATTAATTACCTAATGCCAAGAATAAGAGCAGCTTCTTTTCTCGTCATTTTAGGCTGAAACCCTCCATCATAAAATTTGCGTATTCTAGGCTTTGGTGGTCTTGCTTTAAATGATTGCCATGCCTGGACCCCGTATTTCCCAGCCAGTGCTGCTGCTGCTATTGCTAGCCCAGCCAGAAACGGCGTCGCCTGAAAATCACTCCATGATTATTAATTTCACATCTATCATTATTTCAACCATCGATCAAATCCAGAATTATTTCAGAGAAAAATCTAATCAAATCGCTCACCATTTTTTTAAAATTTATAAATAGTAATAAATAGAGAGAATGAATACTGCTAAAAACTCTTCAAAGCTTTCTGTAGAAGAAGAAGAAACAGTGAAAGAGCTTCTCGCTGATTGCGTGCATCTCCCAGTTTCTGTGGCACTTTACAGTCCCAACCATTCACTGCCAGGTGTTGCACAACCAAAGGACATTTTGGTGATTACGTGCTTTTATTTTGTTTAAAATGGACCAGGCCACATCTACGGCCCACAATATCTAGGGTTATATTTATTTCCAAGCAGACGTAAAAACCCACCTAAACCCTCTCCTTTTTCATTTGCCCTGGTACTTCACTGCTATTCTCCAAGTCTTGAAAGCCACCAAAACCCAAGAGCTCAAGCTTGTTAATTCTTGAAGTAGGCATAAAGTGCTTTCTGGGTTCTTTTCCTTTTGAAGTTCTCTGTGTTCTTTTGTAGAGATTTTGGTGATATTTTTGGGCAGGGAAAGGAAAGGAATGGGGAAACTAGGAAAGAAAGCAAGGAAGTTTGCAAAGAAGAATTTACAGTCAGTGCTTAAAAGGCAGAGGAAGGTCAAGTCTTTCTTCAAAAAGAAAGCTTCTAAAAGTATGTCTACCTTTGCTGTTTGTTACTTTCGTTGCGTTCTTTGCTTTTGTTGTTGCTGTAGCTTGAATTTGTTGGGTAATTATTGGTTTAGGAGATGAGAGAGCTCAAGCTGAAGATTCCGATGAAGAAAGAGAAGAAAAGTATAGTGGAAGGTAAAGAAAGCAGGTGCAAATTAATGCTGCAGGGATTAGGCGCATTGTTTTGACCGTGAAAGATTGAGTTTAATTTTGTTTTGCTCTCAAGATATGATTAAGGGTTTCTCTTAAATAGTTCATCTGCTTCTAATTGATATTATATTTGTCTGTCTATGCTTGTTTGCTTACATAGGAGAATGATCTTGAGAATTGGGTTGTTTATTGATTTATTTTGTATGCAGAAACAATGAAGTTGAAGATTTTAAGGATATTTCCCTTGATGCCGTATTTGGTGAAGATGGTAGTGATATGGATGGGGATGATTCAGATAGTGACGGATATTTATCTGAGGTTTTGAATTATGTTATGCCAACTTTGTTTTTGTTAAACTTAATTTGGCACATGTCCTTTGCAAGGTGTTTCTAACATTGTTGGTCATGGTAACTTACCAGGATACAAGTTGTTCATATAATGGTGAAACTAGAATTGAGAATCATCTGGAAGGTCAGGATACCATCACCAGTTTCTCTGGTATTTTTATTGTTTTTTTTTTTAATTTTAATTTGCCCCTTTTATTTATGTTTTTAGTAATTTGCATGCAGAGTACAATGGTGGTGGTGATTTATCGGTGCAGAACAAGGAAATTCATTTAGAACTGGCAAAGAAAATGAAAAGGCTGAGCAACTTGAAAGCCAAGGTGATCAAATCATAATTTTTTATTATCTCAAAATAGAGTTTTCAAAGGATTTATAAGATTTTGAGTAATGTTTTTCATATAAAGTTAGAACTTCAGTTTGTTGGTTGACTCTAAAATTTTTGAGTGCTAAAATCTAAACCTATCATAATCTAATTGTGATAGGGAATCTCGTTTTATCCTACAAACCCATTTAGGCTTGGACCATTTGTCTGGAATCTGTGATAGTTTTTTGGTATTGAGTTTCTCTTGTTAGTTTCTGCACTTAAAATGTCTGCTAGGCAGCAGAATCCATTTTATGAATTTACTGTCATTATGTAGAGATTCAACTAAACTTTGTCACTTAAAATTTGACAGGATCCAGAATTTGCGAAGTTTTTGGAAAGCAACAAGGAACATCTGCAGACATTAAGGGATGAGGAAAATGTAAGCTATGAAGTCTTAATTTTTTTTCCAGGACTCTTAATATCTTGAGAAATTAAAGGTGTGGATTTTTTTTGCAAATTCCAAGCTCCACTTGCTTGTATATCTATCTTATGACTACTAGATGTTTATATATGTAGCTGTCATCTATATTACTCTCCATATGATCTGTTCTAAGACAAGAAATTTCTCCCTCCATCAAAGTTTGTAATTTCCAGTCATTGAACCTTATATTCAATCTGGTTTGTGTCTGTTGTATCTTTTTAACCCCCCTTTATCAAGTTTTAACCATCTCTTCCTTCACAGCAGTTTTCAGATGAAGAAGAGTCTGATGAGGATGGCAGGGAGTCCACAAATAAAATGGGGAATTTGAGTAGCTCTACTTTTGATTCTTTGTGTGAACTAGTCAAGGAGCAGAATAATGTTCCTGCTTTTGTAAGGCTATTAAACGGGTACAGGGCTGCCTGCCACTATGGATCTGAATCACCCACCATTGTTGAAGACAGCCACACTTTTTGCAAGATCTTGACATTCATGCTCCAAGAGGCTGATAATATATTTCGTAAAATTCTGGGAATATCAGGCTCCAATGATAGGAAAGAGGCCATCTTGGAACTGAAGAATACTTCCAAATGGAAAACTTTGAAGCCAGTAGTCAAGTCTTACTTGAGAAGTACCCTGTTTCTCCTAAATGTGGTTACTGATTCTCAGATATTAGCCTTCGCCTTAACCAGACTCAAAGCTTCTATAGTATTTTTTGCTGCCTTTCCTCCTTTACTAGGCAGACTCATCAAGGTATGTTAATCCTAGAATGTTTCAAATTTGTAACTAATGCAACTAAGAAACCAATTTTCTGGGGATTATGATAATAGCATCTTCCTTTCTTGTCTAATTTGTTTATTACCAAGGCTTGCACAATTAATGCACAAATTTGCTTTATATTGGATGTTAGGGTCTTTAACTCTTAGGAATTTCAGACCTTAGCGTTATTCAGTACTTCTTGTGAATTTGTCAATCTTATGCTTTAAGCGGTTGTGCCTTACCAAGACTTGGAATTGTATGCAGATATCAGTTCATTTATGGGCAACGGGCAAAGGAACTCTATCAGCATGCTCACTTCTCATCATCAAAGATGTGGCTGTTGTGTTTAACTCAAATTGCTTTGAAACCTGCATGATTAAAGCATACAAGGCTATTATTGACCACTGCAAGTTTGTGGAGCCAGTTCTGTTTAAGCATCAACAATTTCTGAAAAGCTCCTTCATCGAGCTATGCTCTCAAGATCTGCAGAAAGCTTATAGCAAGGCAATGGTTTCTATCCAGCAACTTGCCAAGATATTGCAGCTTGGTTTACGAACTAAGAAGGTATTCACTCAGAAAGCTATACTGGTACCTTGTTTTGTTTAATCCTAACATCGTTTTACATCTGTCCTTGGTTGCATTGCTGATTTTCGTACTTTATTTTCCAACTTTTAAAGAGTGAATTGATCAAAATTCCGTGTTGAAATGTTGCTTTTATGCAGGAAGCAGTAAAGAAGATATGCAGTTGGCAGTATGCTAACTCTGTAGATCTGTGGGTTGCATTTATTTCTTTGAATATACATGATTATGATCTGCAGCCTCTGCTTTATACAATAATTCAGATCATAAATGGAGTAGCTGTCCTGTTTCCAGGACCAAGATACATGCCTTTAAGAGTTAAATGCATCCAATGGTTGAATACTCTCTCTGAATCTA